TGCTCAGCGGCAGGGACCCAGACATGCTAAATAATATGCTCGGCCAGTTGGTCGAGGCCCTGAGACAAGCTAATCTGCATGTTGCCCCCGACAAGATTCAGGGAGGAGAAATGGTGACCTACTTAGGCGCGAAAATCTCCCCTATGCTAGTCTCTCCACAGAAGGTCACCATTAGGACGGATGGCGTTAGGACCCTAAATGACATGCAAAAGCTATTGGGAGACATTAATTGGATTAGGCCATATTTACATATACCAAATTCAGATCTCAAACCCCTGTTCGACCTTCTGAAGGGAGACCCAGATATAGCCTCCCACAGGAGGCTCACTCCTGAGGCAAGAGCTGCCTTACAGAGAGTGGAAAAAGCCTTAGGTGGGGCTACCTTACACAGAATTGAACCAGGGCGACCCTTTGATGTCTGTTTGCTACAGACTAGTCTACAGCCCACAGCGGTGATTTGGCAGAAAGGACCATTACTGTGGATACACCCTAAGGTCTCACCTGCAAAAGTCATAGAGCATTACCCGGAGGCAGTCGCTTCATTGGCCCTTGAAGCGCATGATAGAGCTGTCCAACATTTTGGCTCAGGACCACAAGCCATCCGAGTACCCTATACCGCCAGCCAGATCAAGACCCTGGCTGCCTGCATAGATACGTGGGCCATTCTGAGATGTGTTTTCCATGGGGATATAAACAATCAATACCCTAAAGACCCTATCTTGTCATTTGTCACTCAGCACCCTATAATTTTTCCAAAGGTTACTGCCTCTGAGCCATTAGTCCCAGCAACTACAATATATACAGATGGCTCCAAGACGGGGATAGGCGCCTATGTGATCCTAGGCAAGCCCCCGGTTACCATACAATTTGAACCTGATCAGCCTCAGGTGGTAGAACTGCAGATCGTTAAAATGATTCTTGAACGGTTCTCAGAAGCCATTAATATTGTCTCCGATTCTAGGTATGTGGTCAATGCTATGCAAGTGCTTGAGACTGCCGGTTTAATTAGATCCACTTCCACAGTGGCTGGGCTGTTCCTGTCTATCCAGACATTGCTTCAGAACAGACACCATAAGGTCTTCACCACCCACATAAGAGCACATACATCCCTGCCGGGGCCTATGGCACAGGGGAATGCGGCTGCTGATACTGCCACTCGCCCGTTATGGATTTTTACCTTACTAACACCAATCGAGCGAGCCCGTGCCTTCCATGATAAGTTTCATGTCAATGCCAGGACACTAGCAAACCATTTCCATGTTTCCAGAGCAGATGCACGAGATATCGTGCGACTATGTGACTCCTGTGCCACATACAAACCTGCCATACCGATGGGAGTAAACCCTCGAGGTTTGATCCCTGGTGATGTTTGGCAGATGGACATCACACATATACAGGAGTTTGGGACTCTTAAATATGTTCATGTTTCCACAGACACCTGTTCTCACGTCATATTCGCAACAGCAGAAACAGGTGAAAAAGTGTCTAATGTGATCAATCATTGCCTGGCGGCTTGGGCCGCATGGGGCAAACCAAAAATATTAAAAACTGATAATGGACCAGCCTATATAGGCAAAGCCTTCAATGAGTTCTGCAAAATGATGGAGGTTCAATTAAAACATGGTATCCCATACAATCCCCAAGGTCAAGGAATCATTGAGAGGGCTCATAGAAGCCTCAAACAAATTTTACAAAAACAAAAAGGGGGAGTAGGCCAAGGCCTGGCCCCAAAGGCACGATTATCCATGGCACTATTCACACACAATTTTTTAAATTTAAATAATGATAATTGCTCCCCAGCCGTGGAGCACTGCAACCCTTCCCCCAACCATAAAGGGTGGGTGAAGTGGAAAGATGCCCTGACAGGACAATGGATGGGCCCGGATCCAGTGGTCAGCTGGAACCGAGGCGCGGTTTGTGTTTTCCCACAGGAATCGGGACGAGAACCACTGTGGGTACCGGAGAGACTGACACGGGCGACAAAGCCCTCGACTGAAGATCAGACCTGCCCTACCGGAGATCCATCACAGACCAACCAACAAGATGAATAGAAATAGCGGTAGCCCAAAATGGACAAAAAGATCCTCAGGCATATGCATGGCTCGCTCGCCTAGCCTACGACCGAGTCTAGGGGTGGTGAGCTTCCCACACTCCTCCTCTAAAAAATTATGATATAGCAGGGTAGATGAGTCAATGACGGGTAAGAGCATGCCTCCCCAGCATGACTCAACCTAAGACAGGCCCTACCCCATCCTGCACGTAAGCCGCTGGACTGTTAGATGCTGCCCAGGTCTAAATTTCTCTCCGAGGGGATTTCTTTACGGAGAGGAAATGAGTGCAAGCTTGTGTGCATCCAGGTTCCGTCCAGTTTGTGCCTGGCCCTAGAAAAAGGACGAGGGCCTCAGGGCCTTGGCAGACCATGGGACGGCCGACCAGGGTCTAAGCCAAGGACCTACGGTGGGCCTACGCATAGGGCATAAGCCTCTGCACCCAGTCCAGGAAGGGCTACAATGCGCACATTCATAAAAAATAAAAAAGGGGGAGATGTTGGGAGCCGCAGCCCCGAGCCCGGTCGCCTCACTTGGCGGACGTGAGGCCTGTAGTAAAGAGTAAAGCCTGAGGTAGATTACCCCTCCCATCGAGCACGTTAGTTTCCTGCTTACCGCGTAAGCAACCCGCTCAACAATATAGTCTGCCTGGCAACTGATGATGTTAGCCAATCAGCTTGCCTTGCTTACTTTAACATGATTGGACACTGTGTCCGTATATATACTGGTGCCACCCCTGGGGGGGAAGGAGAAGCCCGGAAGTAGAAGCCCAGAAGGAGCCGCGGGGAGCGGACCAAAGGAGGCTTCGGCTGGGAGCGATCCCAGGGCAGGCTGTACGGAGAGAAAATAAAAGAAAAGGTTGTCCACTGCCAGACTTTGTCGTGTGTCCTTCCTGCCGGCCGGGAGCCACATCGACAATTCTTAGTTTGATGTCAGGTCTAACTAAATAATCCAGGTTGGTCCAAAATTTGAGATCTTCCTACCTCGGTCTCCTGAGCACGTAGTAGTATAGGCATGCACCACTGTACCTGGTTGCATGTCTTTTAATTTACCTGCAGACAAATATATATATATTTTTTCCAATACATATATTCAAACATATATATATATATATATATATATATATGCACACACACGTGTGGAGGAAAATTACTTTCAGAAGATGTGTCAGATCAAAAAATAGTACCCAAAACATATAAAGAAATTGTAAAACTCAATAATACAAACATAATGACTCCAAGGCAGGGTGGCATGGCATTGGGGGAACACATCAAGGCAGGAACCAGAGAAAAAGGGAGAAACAAGCTTCTTCTCCTTCCTTATATCGTGTATAGCCCACCCCCAACCCTCTCCTGAGGCTGTAACACTCACAAAATCTTTGCACCCTCCTCTTGCACAGCATGAGAATATTTACAAAGTAAGGATCCTGGTTCCCTGCTGAGTCTCTCAGTTAAACTTCTAAACTTCTCGACTTAACACAATGTATCAATCATAACAACACATTATTCCCCCTTATAGGATATATACCAACAAGGAGAGCTCCAGGGTAAACAACCAGATTGGAGTGACAAAGGTGAGTCTAGGGAGATCCATCATTTGAAAAGCTGTATCACTGAGTGAGTGTGGGGGTGGATATCGCCAGAGGTTGTGAATCCATGAAATCTTTTTATCTTGTGTCAGATTTCCTGTGAAGTTAGAATTTCCTGTGAATCTAGACTGAAACAGGAGAATCACAACTTGAGCCCAGGCTTGGCAATTTAGCAAAGTAATGAGGCTTTGTACCCAGTGGGGCAGGGGCTGGCAGGAGATGGAGCTCACTCAGAACGCGCTGGGTTCAAACTCAGCACTAAATAAATAAAGAAATCCTAGGAAAAAAGCAGGCTCATCTGTGCTGCTGTTATACAACCCATGAATCTTGAATATCTTGGGATTTGCTCACATCTAGATGGAAGGATCAACTGAAAACATGGTAGTATTCATGGATGCATTGCTACCCACATTTTTTATTTGCATTACTAGGGAACTGAACCTAGAATCATTCCACTGCACTACATCTCCACCTCATTTTTTTGTATTTTATTTGGAAAGAAGTGTTCACTATGGTGCCAAAGCAAGTTTTGAATTTGCCATTCCCCTGGCTGAGCCTGAGAGCACACTGGGATTACAGACCTGCATCAATGTGCCCACAGCAAACCACTTTTATTAGTTCAGGCAGGGGCTGAACGTTAGGTGGCAGAGACAGCCTCTGCCAGAGAGTAACCTGTGACTACTCAGCATCATTCTAAACTCCAAAAACAAAAGAAGCACTTCTACCCTTCTCAAGGTGGATATCCCAAAGGTTCATTTTGGATCCTCAGACACTCAAATCTGCGTGTGTGTCTTGGTGGTGAGTGGCCTACAAAAAAAAAAGATTCTCAGCTTTCACTGACAGCTGCATACAATGGGGTAAAGTGTGGAGGATGTGGGCACCCAGAGAGGAAACTCCTAATAAAAAAAATGGGAGGATGCCACAGGTGCTACTGTGGTGCAGTGAATCGAGGACGGGGCTGGGAGGGGGCAAGACGAAGAATTACTGGTCCTAGAGATGGAAGCTTCTTCTTAGCGAGGCAGTGGAGAAGCACTGGTTCTCTAACCTATGGGTTCTGCACTGTCCTTCATGGCGCCTGGCTTTTCCCTCCTGAGCTTTCCCTTTGTTTTTTATTTTCTAAGGTCACATCTTAGCTGGGCCTTAAAGAATACACATGTCTTAGGACATCAAAAGCATGAATTTGGAGGAGTCAAGAATGTTAGGGAAATGGGAAAACCGCTCTATACTGGAAATGCAATGAAGTCTGGGGTCAGTGTGAGGGAAGGGAGGAGACAGCTCATAGCAGCAGAGCAGTGAGGAAGGGCTCCTGATGGGAGCTGACAGGGCTGCCTAAGGCTCCTGGAGAGTTCTTTGATTTCCCAACTCCTCAGGAAAGTGTATGACAAAATGAAGGTTCATCTGTGAGTAGCTATTTGCAGAAAAAAAGGAAATGGCCCGAGCATTTCTATGTGTGGATTTATACTAAAACAGAGCCATCAGAGAACACTTAGCCAGAGTCTTTTATTTGGAGCAGAAACTCAAAACCACAGGTGTTCATGAGAAGGGAGTTTATAAATACTGTACACAGAACAGGAGCTTACTGGACATGGCCTTGTTCATGCTGCAAGGGTTGGAGACCTGTTTAAGTACAGATAAGAGATTTTGATTGGTACTTAAATAAGACAATTGTTCGTTGATTCCTTAATTCAATAAACACATTGATTCATTAAGTCAACATACATAGCAGTCACTATTTCCCACACAGGGGAAGAATATCTATCAGTGAATGATACTGAATGAAATCTCTGCCTACAAAGAGTTTATATTTCATCATCTGAAAGAAACCATATCAAGCCCTGTACATCATTATCCTTTTCATATAAATAAGATTGATGGTTTGGATGAGCTTACTAAAATCCTTAAAAATTATAAAAGAATAATTTAAAAAGGATAAAAGAAACCTGAACATTCCATTTAAGAAATTGAACCTACTATTAAAAGTCTTCTCACAAAAAGAAATCAGGATACCATTGGCTTCACCAGTAAATTTTCCTAATCATTTAAGAAAGATACAATATCGGAAGATAGATTCAAGGAGTTCCCATTCCTTTGAAAAGACTTATAAATTTAGTAGTACATCAAGACACTACAGGAAAATAAAACAACAGAATCATATTTGAATAACCACAGTCACAGTCATTCTAAGCAAATCAAGCGAGGTAAATTGTATCCATTAAGTCACAAGACTCAAGGCGAGTTAAAGCTGAAGGAAGCTTCAGGGTAGGACTAGGACTGAAGCTGAGCTCCTCCCCCCATTGTTGTTAACTCCCCTTCTGCACTAGGTGCAGCAGAACTGGAGGCTGTGTCACTGGGCTGGGCTGGGTCCTCACTCAGAGCCCTCTCCAGACTGGCAGGCAGAGAGTGGATCAGTCTCTGTCGGAAGTCCTGACCCACAAACACATACAGCACTGGGTTGAGGCAGCTGTTGAAGAAGGCTAGGGACTTTACTGGGTTGAGAAGAATGTTAAGAATCTTGTATTTACCCTCTAACCACAACTCTCTGAACCATATTGTTCTTAAAAGTGCAACCAGCTGGAAGGGGAACCAACAGATGAAGAAGGAAGCCACCACAGCAGTGAGGACACGAAAGGGGCGGCTGGAATTCATCATGCCTTTTCTGTGAATTTTGGCTGCAATGAGCCCATAGCAGATGGCGACCATGGACATGGGCATGCTGAACCCAATAAGGAACCGGATGATCCCTCTAGCTGTTAACATGGTGAAGGCCACCTTCCACCTCTTCTCAACAGTGTCTCCCCAGGATGCAAAGGAGAAGGTGCAGTATACATTTCCATTTGGACCACTAGCTGTGGTCAGGAAGATGAAAACTGGCAAGGTAAGGACTAGGGCAAGAACCCAGGGCCCAAGGATCACCTTCTTCGCCAGACTCACAGTGCGGTGGTTCTGGGCCCACACTGGATGCAAGACACAAATACAGCGGTCCAGAGCAATGAGGGCGATCAGGAAGACACTTCCAAACAGGTTTATGTCCACAACGATGTGAATCAGCTTGCAGAGGAACCAGCCAAATGGCCATTTTTCTCCCATGGCCAGGGAGACAATTTGGAAAGGGAGGGTGGCAGTGAAGGAGAAGTCAGCTAAGGCCAGGTTCAGGTAACAGATGGTGGTGACTGTGTGTGCCATCCGGAATCCAGCCACCCAGATCACCAGCCCATTGCCCAGCACACCAAGGACAAAGGTGATGGCGAGTACCACCAGTGGGAGTATCCGCAGCACAGCATAGCCAGCTGATTCATAAGACATCTCTTCAGTTCTGTTTAGAGGGATTGAGAAGTTGCCTTCCATCCTGCCAATACCTGAAACATTTCAGTGAAGGTCATTTGTCAGGTTTGGATTTATCTTACAGCATCCTTATTCAAACCCTGTATCACCTGCCAATAGAGCTCCCACTCCAAGCAAGGCTCTCCTTCATCAAATGTGGTGTCCAGTAGTACCATAAAATTGAATGTCTCTTAAATGTTCTCACGGGGAAGATTCACATAGTTAGCACTATACTCACTATAAGAAGAGCACTGTATTCACATAGTAAGCACTAAAGCTCAGACTCACCAGGTTCACATCTGGTGATTCCACCCACGATTCCATGCAAAATTTCCAGCATACTCTGCATGTAGTTTGAGCCCCAGGTTCATGTAATCTCCTGGCCTCCCGTCTCTGCCCACTGTGACAGTCTCAGAACCATTATCTGGACAGTATTTTAGTTAGTTTTATGATTTGCCTGGAGTTATAATTGAAGAGCCCCTAAAATGATTTTTTGGGTTGCAGCATGCTGCAACCTCTGGATTCAGTGCAAGAGGAACTCAGCAAATCTCTACTTGCAACATCATGCATTTCATTACCCAGTCAATATCCTGTGGAGATGCATGATTTGCCAATATCTATTTAGAGATCAGCACTGCGGTGATTGCTGTCCTGGGTGTCTAGTTTGAGCTACATAATTGCTCCATATGGCTGACCATTTCTGATTTCCAGAAGGATAAATTGATTTTCAGAAAAACTGTGTAGCCTTCTGAAGGTCACTTAAATACTACACACTAGTGGAGGCACTGAAGTCCAGCTTGACCAGTAAGTAGCAATTCCTGTGGACTGGTTCACAAGTAAGCCCCATAATAATAATACTATGGTGAAGCCATTGCCATCTCTGTTTTACCAGTCAGAAACTATAGCCCAACAATATCACTGGCTTCTTCAACTGTACGTGCAGTCAGTCAAGGGAGACAGCAAGATTTCAAAAGGAACTTAATCAGTTTCAGAGCTATTTGTTGGTCGCTCTAAAGTGTTGACTTTGAAAAGGATTCCCCAACACTGCCTAAGTATTCTTGTATATCAACTTTCCTTTTCTTTCTCTTATTACCTCCTTTGACTTTTCCTGTCATTTGCACTGCAATCTTCCCGGGGCATTGTGTAATATAGTGCAGGGTTTCTTAAATGTGGCGTGGCTGATTTGGAGTCTAGGAATTTCTTTGCTGTGGGGAAGGTCCTGCACATCACAGTAGGGATAGTAGCATCTATGGTCTCCATCTACTGGATTTCAGTAGCAATTTCCATCCAGTAATGACAACCAAAACTGTCCCTTGTGAGACATCACCCCTATTACAAGGCACTGTTGTTTATAAATTTCTTGCATTTGGAGTTGGATAAATCTGTATTCTACTCTCATTTCTGTCTCCTCCCCAATGTGAGATCCTGACAAACTTACCTCTGAGCTTTGGTTTCCAACTCTGCAGATGGGGGTGCTTTAGTAGTAAAGGCTGACACGTTGGAAGCGACTTTATAAGAACAGACATGGAAATCTCAGCTAGACAATGTGAGTCTTTAACAAGAAGGAAACCATTGGCCTCCCCAGGATCTGTGTCCAGGAGTTCTTTATGGGCTATGCAGTGCAGAAGTTCAAGGCCAGTTAAGAACAGTGCCCTTAACAGTGGTAACTGCTACTTGTGAACACTGACTGTGCTCCAGTTGCTCCCTTTTTCCCTTCACAGCTCACCGATGTCAGTGATGCTTGCAGATTGCATGCGACACATGCGCAGTACTCAATACACCAGGAATTCTGTTAATACTGAATAACTTATAACTAATATAGCCAATATACACATAAAGCGAAGGCTTATGCTCGATGTATTAGTTATTTAAATCATCCTGTTAGAAAACATCACAGTCTAAATTTGACCTTTGTCAGGCTTATTTCTCCAGGCTTGTGCTCTTCAGCCTCTCTAACCCCATGTTAACCCCATATCCACCCCATATTCCTCAACAGACTCAAAATCTCTCTTCCTACTCTACAAACACCCCACAAGTCCTTTAGAAGACAAATGTATTCACTAATCTCTAACTCACTGGTTTTAAAATATCAATACAACAAGGAAGGACCCTGACAGGCATAAACCAATGTGACAAAAGTATGGGTCTACTCTAGTTTCAGGGTACAGAAGAGAGATATGAGCCACACAAGTAACCTGTGCTGACCACAGTGGCCTCTACGTGTTGAGACCCCAATATGTTGCAGTCACCTGCAGTTACAGCATCCTCTGATGCCATAGGAAACCTCAGCTCAGAGAGAGGAAGTAGCTGCTGACTGTGACAATGACCAAAGTGGTTATAAATTTTAGTTTTATGACCATGGATCCCAAAGGGAATCTCAGCACTCCATGGAAGCTCATTCTATTTTTTTAACATATTCATGCTCTTATTTTTAAAATGAACTTGTGTTTCTACTTTTTGCCCACACCCTCAAAAGTCCTCCATTACTCTGACTCAGCCTAAGTGCTTGTCTGATTTTTCACAGAAAAAAATGACAAAATTAGATGGGAATTCCTCAGCTTCATCTCTGTCTCCACTCACACCAGTTGCTGTTACTAAGGCTTCTTGACCTTCAGAAGGACTCCCTTTCCTCATCTGCTCTGGATCCTTTGAAACAATTCGCCTCCTGCCCTGCTTCCTCCATTGTCTGCCAAAAACTCTCCAGATTTAATTTCCACTGGAAGTCCTAACACATGAAATTACAGTGTCACTCCCTTCAAAAAGAAATGATACTTTTCCCACAGTCCTTTCCACCTCCAGCCCTGTTACTATGAGAAGACATCTTTCTATGAAAACAATTGACAGACTCAAGAAGAAGAATTCTTCAACTGTGCTCTCCACTCACACTTTCTCCTGGTTTTACTCCAGGTGATCTGCATCCTCCACACTTCACTGAACATGATGACTTGGAAGATGTTTAAGGACTCCACATCTCCAAACCCAGCAGTCCCTTCTCCATTCTTATCCTGATTCCCAGGGGCATAGGGTCCATCAGAGCTACTCCTTCCTGACACTTATATCTATTTTGTTTTGAGACGTCAAAATAAATACACTAAAGTCTTTAATGTCTTTTGGCAGGGGTTCTGGGAATCAGACTCAGGACCTCATGCTTGCCAGGCAGGTACTGTGCCACTGAGCCATATTCCCAGCCAGGCTTTATTGTACATAGCTCAATTGCCCAGCCTCTTCTCTGTCCAGTTTATCTCTTTTTCTTGAGTCTGAATGTTGGGACTGAACCTGAGCCCACAATCCAGCCTCTCTCCATGCATGGTCTTTATATAGATGATGACATAATCCAATTTTATGTGTTTAAATATCATACTGAGGATTCTACTCCAAATCATCAACTTTGACCGTTCCTCTGAGATCCAGCCTCATCTCAGACATCCTGATGTCACCCCTAGGAATCCAGGACACACCATGCATCTAACATTGTCCAGACCAAACTTTTATATATCCCACTCACCCATACAAGCCACTCTCATTCTGAACTTCAATACTGAGATTTCAAAGATCCAAATCCAGAAATTTTCTTTGATGTCTTTTCTTGTATCTTGCAATTCAATCTTATACCTGTAAATCCTGAACCTATTGCTGCCACCTCTGCTGAAACCTACTTTCTATAAAGAAACTAAATAATCTTTTGAAAGGACAAATAAAATCATGTCATTAAAGCCAGGCATAGTGCCACATATCTGTAATCTCAGGTGCTTGGGAGGTTGAGAGAACAAGCAAGCTTCAGGCAAATTAGCAAAAGTCTATGTAGAAATAAAGCTTAAAAAACAAGTGTAGGCTATAGTAGTGTTGTATGACTCTGGCTTCAGGAAAGAGAGACAGAAAAGCAGGAGAAGGCAAGGGAGAGGGAGAGGGAGACAAAGACAGAGAGACAGAGAGAGTCAGAGAAACAGAGACATCATAACAGTATCCTGCTCAGTGCTGCCCAGCACCTCTCTCCTGACACAGTTAACCAGCACCCCCACATCTGCCCTCTCTGCTCCCCACACTTCATCCCTCCATGCAGATCCTTGGGCATAAAACTCACTGTCAACTCTGGGACTCTGTACTCCCCTTTCCTTCAGCTCAGTGTTCTACCCTTTTGGACTTCTCTCACCTGGTTTTTTCTGAATATTCATGCCTGTGGCTTAACTCTTATGTCCCTGGACAACTGGTCTAACCCAGGATATGAAGGTACTTGCCCACATCCAGCCTGTCTCATTGAGTATCTTTTTTGTTTCACGTAATTTACTCATTTTTTGGCCTCTGATACTTTCTACACTGGTTTTTAAAATCTACAAGACTCTGAATTTCTTTCAGTGCTTTGTCCTGAGGGTCACATTGTCCAACAGAAATGGAAAGTGAGCCACCAGATATAAGGCATATAGGTGACCTACAGTTCCTTAGCAGCCATGATGAACAAGAAGTTAAAACTTCTGACAAAAGGACTCTTAATGACTTATTTTACCTAACCCAACATATCATATCACTGAAATATGTTACCAAAATAAAATTGTAATTTCAGTGACTTAGGAGGGTGAGGTGGGAAGATGGAGAATTCAAAACCAGCCTTGCCACTGAGTTACACTCCAACACTAAATAAAAACCAACCAAAATAAAAATTATCTATGTGATCGTTTACACCCTGTTTTTTGTACTTAGTCTTAGAATATACTCAGTGCATTTTGCATTCAGTAGGTTCTGGTTCAACACTTAGTAGACATTTCAGACTGGTGAATTGAACATGGGATAGCTCTGTTTAAGAGGTGAGCAACTGTCTGTTGTATAATAGGCGCTGAAGTAAGAATTTTTCAATGGTGAGACTGTAACTTACCTCCAATGAAGGCAGTCCCTTCCCTGTGGCAGGCTCCTGGCTTCCTGTGCAGTGACTCAGGTTCTCCTCTGCCTGTTGACAAAGACTCTATTGAAGGGGGGGGGGGGGACAATGAAGCCAGAGCCAATGAGGTAACAGAAACGGGAAGTTCCTTAGCATTTCATGCTGCTCACAGATATACTACATGGGGGGATGTTCTCTGGGTTCCAAACTTCCCTGAGGTTCAGAGGGTCCATCCTGCCAATATTGGGGTCTGGGAAAGATGTGACCAACTCTGTTTACTTCGGGTAGCCTGAAAAATGAAAAAGATAATTACTGAGAGAAAATAATTAGGGGCAAGCAATAAAAGACAGATACTGGTCCATCAAAAACTCACTGCTCTACTTAAACAATGCTTCTGACACTGGGTGTGGGGAGTTTTTCCCACACTAAGCTATTTTCCAGTCCACTACAAGCACTAACCGGGTGTTTCTGTCCTACCCCAACAAGACGACACAGACTTTTTCTCTCAGCAGGAGAAAAGGCAAAGCATTTTGTGGCAACTTCTTTCAAAATTTCCATCACAGTATTTGGGTAGGTCTGGGAGTCATGGTGGAGGTGGACAAACCAATAGGTGACTTTGCTAGCGTTGCCATAAAATGAGCCATAGATGGAGTGGTTTAAAAATAGAAAATGATCTTGTCACAGCTCTGGAGGATGCATCTCTGAGATCAAGGATGAGCAGATTGGTTCTCTCCCAAGGATCCTCTCCTTGGACTTGGACACATGGTTTTTGTCCTGTGCAGACTATGTAATGACCTTGTGCTCCATTATGTGCTCCAAGGACACTAGGTTAGGGCCACCCAGAAACCCTCACTTCAACTTAGTTTCTCTCTTTAAAGGAACTATCTCAATGTGTCACATTCTAAGGGACTGGATGCTGGGTAGCACAACTTCTGCCATAATATACAGTTATGGGGCATAGTGGTGAAGTAAGATGCTGTGGATGGACCAGAATGGTGCATCTAGTCTCAACTGGGCACGGGAATTTGCGGACTGTTGGCTGAAGCATGGTTGAAACACTAAGCATGGAAAAAGTCATGTAGAAAGAATACAAAATAAGAGATAAAGGATTTTTTCTAATTACTAGGATGGTGACAGTATTTATGCACAAGTAGTCCTGTAACTGCTTAGCAGCAAATATGCTCATACACATTCATAAGAGAGAGAGACAGAAAGGGAGAGAGTGAGAGCAAGAGTGAGAAAGAGATAGGGAGGGGGAATGAGCCATGTCTGAAAATATTATTACTCCCATTTCATTGGTGGAGGGACCACAATATAGCAGTTAAAGTCAAGGACAAAACCCATCTGATCATCCGTCTTTCTATAGGGTATGCAAGAGAGACAATGAACGATTTACATTTTTACTGGCTCAGGAAAATTTTTTGAAAGAACATATCTTATGATGTATCAACATGACATGAAATCCAACAGCAACAACCTTAAGTCAAGTGCTGTTGTTTCTGGCTACAAAGATCCTGGGCTTCTTGTTGTGATTCTGCCCAGTAGAGCCAAGCACAAGCAAGGCCCTACAGACCCTACCCTGCTGAGTGGGAGGTGTTCACCACCCCACCCTTTACAAACAATGCTGACCTACTCATATGGCTTCTCCAGTAACTGGACACAAGAGACCTGGATTCCAGCCCAGACTTCACCATCTTAGGCACAATCGAGAGGCTTCCCCGTCCTCGGAGGCCATCGTACATGGCCCAGCTGCCAACAGTGTAGGGATTGTGGAGGACTGGCAGGGATTCTCCCTCACTGAGCTCAGACCTTAACCTCTTCTGTTACATGTCCCCAGATTAGGCAATCAGGCCATGCAAAACAGGTAGTCTACTTTGAGACTTCCTTATTTTCTGAATGCCTTGCACCACGTACTCTGGCCTCGTACATTTTTGACCACCATCGTATAAGAATCACAGTCCATTTGGGAGCAAGAAAAAGGCCTATATATAAGCTTTAGTAAAGGAAAAACGTTATGGGGAACAGGCAGGACCATCTCACAAGCCCAGCCGCAAGAAGACACACTTCAAAATTTTTTCAGTAGCACTCAGTGAAATCACTGGTCTTCTGTTTTCTCCTGGCCTGTCAGCCCTTCTCCTCCATGCCTAGCATCATCCTCTGCCATTCTCTTCATTTATTTCTCAGGACTTGCCCTTCCTCCTGACTCATATTCATCCTCATTACCCTACTTCCCTCAGGAAGCTTCTAGAATGCATCTCTTATGGATGACCTTTAAGAAAGTTTTATAAAAGAAATCTGGACACATCCTATTTCTGATTAACAGTCATCAGTCTTTCCCTATTTCACTTTCTTGTCTTGTCTGGGGATGATGTCATGTGTGTCACAATCTGTACAGCTGTCTTAGAAATTCATGAGGTTTCCAGAAAAAACGAGGGTGATAAAATATAAGCACATTTCTCCATTTTATTATTCAGATAGAACTTAGTACCCCAACCCCAAAATTCTCATAGGCTAAACTACAAATATCCTTGCTTTCAAGCATTTTTAATTATAATTATTCACTGCTGATTATTAAAATATCCTCACTTGATGAAGGTATTAAGCATGACTTTACATTGATTATTTTTACCTCTGTCTCTCACACTGTCTTCTCCATAATACACATGAACTTCTGATGAGGCAGAAAACATTATAAAAATGAAACCATTCCAGGACTGGAATCCTATAAAATGGCTTGCACAAATGGTGATGTGGAATTAATTTTTATAGTGCTGGCTGTTTGGAGATACTTGGTCCTATCCAGCTGTCTCAGCTTCTCCGTTTGCTTTTCCTGTGTCTGTGTCTTTTTGGTTCCCGTTTCTCTTCTTTTCATCTCTGCCTCTACTTGTTTACTGTTGATTCTTCCCACCTCAATACGTCCCTTCACTTTACCGTGATTATTTGGAAAAGGGTGGCTTGGCCACCCAGTTGCTTGACATTTGGTCTGAGAGGATTCATGTTCTGTGTCCCACAAAGGATTGAAGGTGAGGGACTCACAGAGGGTCTGGAATCCGAAGGAGCCTAGTCCATTAAAACGGGTGCCATATTGGTATATCCTTGTGGTCATATGAGTCACATGGAGACTAGGCTTCCTGTTGCCCACTTAGCTTCCTGTTGGTTCCAGTTCTTGTTTTCTTGCATAACCCTATCCCTATATCTTCAGCTGAGAGTATTCCAGCAGGGTCATTCACAGCAAGGAGCTGGGGATTGGAACTATCCAAGCAAGGACTGCACTGGCAGAAGCTCCAGATGAGAGACAGGTGCCTAAGGCTGCAGAGCTGCAGGAGGGCGCTCAATGCATTGTTGGGCACAAAAAATCCTGTGGAGTGAGTTTTACAGAAATGCAAGAGGAAAAACTGAATGTAGGAAACTCATTCAAATCTTGTAGAATATTATGGTCACATGGAAAACTGAGCGATTGGTCAGACACTGAATAAAAGAGTTTGACTGTGGAGTAGTATTTTTAACATTAAGAAATTTGAGAACATTGGTCTCCAAACTCCAGAAGTTTGTGGTCTGTTATGAACCAGGACACACAGCAGGAGATCAGTGTCCGACGACCTGGTGAAGCCCCATTTGTTTTTGCAGTTTTTCTCCATTGCTCCATTGCCACCAAAGCTTTGCCTCCTCTCAGATCAGCAAGTCCTGAGATTCTAATAGAGCTCGCAGTCTGTTGTGAGCTGTGTATGAGATATCCAGGCTGCTTCAAAGAACCTAATCCTGAAACCATTTCCCATACGTCATCTCTGGAAAAACTGTCTTCAGCATAACCAATCCTTGTTGCCAAAATTGTTGGAAACCCCCATTCTAGGGGACATTGAGTGCTGAGGGGAAATGTAGATCCAGCAAAAATATGATGATGCTCAGAAAGAGACGAGAAAAGGAAGAAAGAACTTGAGGACTGAGCGAGGGGTGAGGCTTGGAGGCTGAGGGCAGGGTAGATCTTAGGCTGAGATTCTTCTTTTCTGGTCACACAAATGAGGCCTAACAACAGGGCATTACATTCGACAGGACAGTGGGTCCCCTGAAACAGGAGGCAGGGGCATCATCTATGAGAAGAAGTGGGAGAGGAGGACCCAAACTTTGGGGAAGAGGCAGAAGGGCCAAATTACTATTGCAAGTCACTGGAAAATGAGTGACATAGGAAGATGCAGCCTTCTGGACCGGGGATGAGTCTCCACATGAAGACTAATCTGGTGGTTACATGGGATCCATCAACACAATTTATCTTTGCCCCTCAAGAATGACAAGGTTAGTCAGGTCCTTTCTGCCCTCCAAGCATGAATTTCTTCTTCTGAAATGTAGGGTTGATGATGCTTAGTCAGTATGAAAGTTAGGGAGCTCATGGGGCTGGGGATTTAGCTCAGTGGCATATGCACCTGCCTTGGAAGCAGACAGTCGTGAGTTCGATCCCCGGTACTGATAAAAAGGAAAAAAGACAAAAAAAAAGTTAGGGAGCTCAGAGGCAGGTGAAAATGGGGGGACAGTGGTTGGCAGGCAGAAGACACTCAATACATCGCAGCCATCCTGGCTTGAATTCACTGTGAATTATAGTTTTCTCCCGTGACTCCTGGTAGCGATATTTTGCATCTTTGTTTCTCTGGCATGTTCTCTCCTGTTATTGCAAAATCTATGTTTGTTACATCCGTCCTTCAGAGATTATGGGATTTTTTTTTTTACTGTTTGGCATTGGGATAGAAATGGTAAAGTGGGAAGACAGCACCAAGTGTGTAAATCTATTTATTTTATTTTAAATTTATTTTTATTTTAAAGATAGTAAAATCCAACAAAACAAAATAGAACAAAGCAGCAAAATTGGTACAGCACTTCAAAGCAGGATACAAGGAAAACAACAATCGTTACCACAATATATCTTGTTATCTTCACATTAGTTGTCCATTCCATCATATAAAGCAAAATCAAACCAAAAAAAACAGAATATTGGATAAAGCAAAACAATCAGAACAAAACAAAACAGTGAGAACAATATTGGATTTCAAATATAAGATAGAAGGAAATCCCCCATATTTGCTATATTGCACACTGTTATCCTCCCAAGAGATGCTCAAACCACTCAGGCCTGCAAAATCAACCAAAGAAGACAAATATTTAGTTGATTTATGTACATTAATTGCTATCAACTCAGCCTGTTCTCTGGATTCGCTGGTTGCTTATGGAACAGAGGTGTGTGTGTGTGTGTGTGTGTGTGTGTGTGTGTGTGTGTGCGTGCGTATATGTTTGATTGTCATC